GAGATAGCAAAATTACAGTCCAGGGATAATCCAATAACAAAGTCTTCTTACCAGTCATCCTAGTCATTCACAATACACAGTTCTTCTGGATTTGCAAACAGTAGCATACAGAGATATCAGACAGCAAGAACAGCAAAGAGAAACAAACCATGTTTCTAGCTCCCTCTTAAGGAGATTGGCTACAGAGCTAACCAATCAGGACACAGTATGATGCAATACAGCAGTCTTAAAGCTATATTGATGGTTTATATATTGCCAACCCAAAAAGGTAGGTAATACTCATTTCCTAACACTTACTCTACAATTTTCATTCCCCCTCCCGTCTAATGAAGACCAATTCTAGGTCTCCTGATTTCCCCCCCACATTTGCAAAATAATAATTAAAAAAAAATTAGTCGCTTTCTCCTCCTTAAGGACTAGACACTTACATCGATATTTGATCCTTACATGTTAGTGCACAAAGCATGAGGCCGCTGTCTGATCCTCTCCGCCCCCCCCCAGGGCCCCAAAGGAGCCCTCAAAAACCTTTCTGATCCTTACCGCATCCCTTTTGCACATTTTTGTTTCTTTTTGTTTCCTTTTCGCCTCTTTCCTTTAAAAAAAAATCACATCTGAGATTTTAGCAAATATCCATTTGATTCTATGGGAACCTCCCCGGGGGGATTTCACATGACAAGCTTAAGACCGGGGACAAAAAGATTCTCTCGCAAGGATCAAAAAAAGGAGAAGAAACAACTCACAAGCCTGGGGACTCTTTTCCCACTTGAGACAGGCAGTGGTTGAACCCAGAAAAGTCAGCTATGTTCTCGATGTCTCTAGAATAGAATAGAATTCTTTCTTGGCCAAGTGCGATTGGACACACAAGGAATTTGCCTTCAGTGCATAAGCTCTCGGTGTGCACAAAAGCTGTAAGTGATTAATCACGATCATAGTCATCATAAAAATACATTCATTGTGAATCATAAGATACAACACTTAGAATAGTCATAGGATAGTAAATAAGCCATCAACATAAACCCTACTAGGAAACTACCGTATTTTTCGGAGTATAAGACGCACCTACCATTTTTGGTGAGGAAAAGAAGAAAAAGAAATCTCCCACTGCCTGTGCCTCTGAGCAATTTTGCCTCCTTGCAGCAAACAGCCTGCTTTACTTTCAGTGTCGTTTTCAGCATAGCTCGATTAGCACAAGGAAAAAAAAAATCTGCTCCAGCAATTTACCTCCTTGCAGCAAGCAGCAGAGCCCTGCGCAAAACAGCTGAGAGCAAATCAGCTGAGAGTCGGGAGGCCGATGTAATCAACTTGTGCTAATTAGGCTGGGCTGAAGCTGAAAGGAGCTGTTTCTTCTTGCTGTTTGCTTGCAAGGAGGTAAACTGCTGGGAAGCAGAGGCCAAAGGGTGGGGGCCAGTGGGTAGGCGGGGCTACATTCGGTGCATAAGGTGCACCTAAATTTTCACCCCCTTTTAGGGGGCAAAAAGGTGCGTCTTATATTCCGAAAAATACGGTAAATAAAACAATATGCTGTATTTTTCACTCCGTAAGACGCCCCTGACACACTCCTGTTTTTGGCCTCCACGTGCCGTTTTTGGCCTCCACATGTCCCATTTTGGCCTCTGTGTGCCCCGTTATTGGCCTCCGTGAAAGTCCTGTGCAGAAGCCAAAACCAGAATGTGTGGATGCCAAAAATGGGGCACGCGGAGGCCAAAAATGAAGTGCACAGAGCTGAAAATGGGGCACACGGAGGCCGAAAGCGGGATGTGTGGAGGCCGAAAACGGAACACATGGAGGCCGAAAATGGCCAGTGGGTGGGGCCGGCCGATGGGTGGGGCTTTGGCAATATTCACTCCATAAGATGCATAGACATTTCCACCCACTTTTGGAAGACAAAAAAGTGCGCCTTATGGAGTGAAAAATACAGGTAAATCGTAAAGATACAAGCAACAAAGTTAGAGTCATAAGTAGAAAAGGAGATCGGTAATGGGAAGGACGAGAAGAATAATACTAATTATTAAATAGTTTGACAGTGTTGCGGGAATGAATTGTTCAGCAGAGGGATGGCATCAGTGGTGAAATACCTTTTTTTTTTTTACTACCGGTTCTGTGGGCGTGGCTTGGTGGGCGTGGCAAGGGAAGGATACTGCAAAATCTCCATTCCCTCCCCACTCCAGGGGAAGGATACTGCATCCCCACCCTATTGGACTTCCGAAAAGCAGTGAAGACCTGGCTTTTCCGGCAGGCCTGGGGCCGTTGATCTCGCTTTGCGATCTGACGAGATCCGGCCATGAATGGTGTGAATGGGTTTTAATGTTTTTAATTTTTAAATGTTTTTATAATGATTTTTTTAAACGTATCGTGAGCCGCCCTGAGTCTTCAGAGAGGAGCGGCATATAAATTGAATTAATAAAATAAAATAAATAAAATCCGCATTCCCACCGCACTCCAGGGAAAGGATATTGCAAAATCTCCATTCCCATCTCACTCTGGGACCAGCCAGAGGTGATATTTGCCGGCCTTCCAAACTACTCAACATTTCCGCTACCGGTTCTCCCGAACCTGTCAGAACCTGCTGGATTTCATCCCCTGGATGGCACGGGGGGAGGAAAAAAACTGTCCTTGTGTCTAATTATTCTGGTGTGCAGTGCCCTATATAACGTCGTTTTGAAGGGTTGAAGTTGAAACAATTGATGCCCAGGATGTTAATATGGAAGACCGAAACCTGCTGGAATAATGTGGAAGAATAATATAGAACAATGAAATTGGATATAAAAGTGATATAATCCTGGGGTCAGCCTAGAGGATCTCTGAAGGGCCCCTTTTCTTTAGTACTGGGTTCAAAAAGTGAAACCGCAGAAATAACAAACCTTCCTCAGCTGGAAAGTTCAGGAAACACCGTCATGAGCAAAATATCATACCTAGCCAAGCAGAGGTGACAACAGACATAAAGGCAGGAAACTTAGGCAGGAACTTAAGATAAGTTTGCAAGAACACCTGTGTCCTACTTAAGAGGGAACACACATTAGTAAGCTTGTAGTATAGCAGCAAAGGGGGGGGGGAATTGTCGCTGTGGGCTGTCAGAACTGTAACCAATCATAAGATGTCAAAAGTATGGATAAGAATAACTGCATCAGAGTCCTTTGTTGCTCAGTCTTTACTTCTTGTGTGGCACTGAAACTTGCGCAATAAACCTCTCTGATCACCCACGGAAAATCTTGTGAGTCTTAATTTCCATAACAATGGAAATTCTCCTCCTCCTCCTCATCTTCCTCCTCCTCATCCCCATCCCCATCACCATCCTCTTGTTGTAGAGATGTTTGTGGAGATGAGAAATTAAGAAAACATCCCAATTAGGGCAGACAGAATCAGTTTAATTATTTATTGCAATAAAGGATCAGATAGGTATTGATACCTCAAGATCTGAACCAAGTTATGATCATGAGACTCCAGTTTTATACATTTTCAAACAAAGGATTCTGTGAGGTCAGCAATTCATATGGTCCTATACATTTATCAATTTTAGTTGACATTTCCTAATTACAGAGTTTCTTTGCAAAACAGTCATAATTCTTTTTGTAGATTACTGAAGCATATCTTTTATCTTTTGTAGAAACAACAAAGTGGACATCTCTGTCACTTTAACCTCAAGGTGTAAATCACATAGACTGTTCTTGTCTGTGACAACTGAGAGGCCTTGAAGTAAGCATCCTGGCAAAGGAATGTCCCTGCCTGTGTTCTGAATATAATTGCAAGCAATTTCTCTCTTACAATATTAAGAACAAAAGAGGGCCCTTCAGTGACTATCTAACTGGACTCGTGTTTTTTATTTATTTTATTTTATTTGTTACCTGTCCCACCATCCTCTTGTCTTCTTCCTCTTCCTTGTCTTCTTGCTCTTCCTCTGTCAGATATTTTCACAGCCCTCTGTGAAAACCTAACACAAACCTAACCCAGGGGACAAAAACATTCTCGCAAAGATTAAAAAAAAAAAAAAAAAGGAGAATAAATACCTCCCAAGCCTGTGGACCCTGTTTTTTTTGCGACTTGAGACCGGCAGTGGTTGAACGCAGAGAAACTAGCTATGTTCTCAGTGTCTCTAACCACACTCTTGAGACGGAGACCCCTTTCCTAGAAGAATGAAATATTTTAGTGTTGGAAGAAACATCCTTCTGGGTTCTGCTCCAAGTGGGGAAAAAGACACTGGAGACATGGAGACTGCTTGGAAAGATGGTTTAATGGTGGACAGGATCACACGGCTTGAGTTCCTGAACAGAAAAAGGGGGCAGATACAGAAAATCCTCGGGTTTTTATGCTCTCTCTGGCTCTGCATTTCTTGGGGGCCCGAAAGAATATCCTGATTGGTTGTCAGACTTCCAGGGGGTGGGGGTCTTGCTGGCAGATGCAATCTTCCCAGGTGCCATGTGGCAAGCCTCTGTCTAGATGGGTCCCATTGTGTTAGTTTCTGTTGCTATTGTGTTGCAAATGTCCTTTGACAAAGGATTGGGTTTCTGCCTCTGTCTCATTAACAAAGGGTGGGGGGCAGGAAGGTGGGAGCTGCTTTGTCTGTAAAACATGCTTCTCCCAGGGAAATATAATATTCTGCCTTTTTCATATTTCCTAAAATATTTCACTCTTCCAGGAAAGGGGTGGGTGCTAACTTCCTACATTAGGAAATATGAAAAAGGCAGAAATATTATGTTTCCCTGGTTGAGAAATGGAGAAACATGTTTTAAAGACAAAGCAACTCCCACCTTCCTGCCTCCCCCCTCCTTTGTCAATGGGCCAGAGGCAGAAACTCAATCTTTGACAATAGGACCCATCTGCCACACAATAGCAACAGAAACTCACCCCATGGCACCTGGGAAGATTACATCAGCCAGCAAGGCTAGCTAAGACCCCCATCCCCTGGGAGTCTGACAACCAATCTGGATACTCTTTCGGGGGGCCCAGGAAGTTCAAAGCCAGAGAAAGCATAAAACCCGAAAACCCGCTGTATCTCTGCCCTTTTTCTGTTCAGGAACTCAAGCCATGTGATCCTGTCCACCATTAAACCATCTTTCCAGTGCCTTTTTCCCCACTTGGAGCTGACAGAGCGATGCCCACATCTGACAGCTTGGCCTTCTGATCTCATTTGTCTTCTGACGCTGGGAACTCCCAGACGTTTCCTCTACCTCCTTCTCAGTAACGTTTACAACATCCTAGCTGGCAGAGATACTCCAGGCTTCCCTGTGCTGGGTGGAACCTCTGTTCTTCCTCCGTGCCTCCACCGAATCATCTTGCGGTGGGGAGGTTGTGGCGAAGGTTGCACAGACCCAAAAAATCACGTCGATTTCTCGGATTCACCTGCTAAACTCGATCGCTGAAGATCCCTGCAAAGGATTCTAAAGTTTTGGAGGGCAATTAGGCATCGTGGGAATCAACTTGTCGGTGAGTATCTTCTTAATAATCCAAATAACCTTCTCCAAACCCTAAAATAAGACCATTTGGCTCATGAATGAGATGCCTTTTAGAGCATGTGCAGAGGGCATCTTTGGTGACAGGACCAACACTGACTTACATTTTCACTTTAGAAACTGTAAGTCAGAAAAATAGGCTGTTTATTTTTTGCTGCGCTGCTATTGGGATGTATTTCATTTAAACGGGCAGTGCAGTTATTTAGGGGAGGAGACTGAACCTGCTGGATTTCTGCCTGATGCCAAACCCATTCTCCTCTTTTCCAGGGCCAGGTAGGTAAGAATGGGTCCATTTGAATCAGAGCTTCTTCCGTCTCATTCCTAAGGTTTATATTGATGGATATTTGTGTTAAAATTGACACCGTTGTCCAATGGGGTTTTGATATTGGATTATTTTTCAACACGGGCTGACCAATCATTCTGAGTTGGCGGATCTCTGAAAGGATCTTAAGGGACCCCTCCCACCCACCCAGCCAGCCAGGCAGGCAGGCAGGCAGGCAGGCAGGCATCCTAAAACCACATTTTAAGAAATAATGGATTTGGAAGCTTGTTTATTTATTGAAAATAAATTGAAATTTATTTTCAAATTGCCCAGGAATTTTTTTTTTAAAAGAATTGTAATTACATAATCTTCTCCCACTCTCAAATGAGGGTCGAGAGTGTTTAGGTTAAGCTTATGGATTGGAAATATTTTTTCTGCCGGTGGAAACTGGGTGGGGTGGCAGAAAGGCATGCCGGAGCTGAGATCCCTGCAACAATTTGTTGCTGATCTCTCTTCCTTCCGCTTGTGTTTGCGGCTGCACACACAGATACACAGACACACAGACACATTACACACACACACACACACACACACTGCAGGAAAATTGCAAGTCCACAAGGAAGAAGTCTGTGTCAGGGTTTTTTTTAATGGAGCCGAGGCTTCTTCGGTTGGGGGTGGGGAGGGGAGGGGAGGGAAGGGGGGGCTTCTCTTAGGAAGAGGAATTGCGAAGTTGCCACCCAAAGTCACGAGCTGCCAAAGACTGAAGTTCCTCAAATGATTTGCTCTCTTGAAGAAGGGATGGGGTGGGGTTTTTTTCCCCCCAGTTGGCTGAGGACTAGCAGCTTGGATACTTCTCCCTGTCTGCCTTCTCCTTTGTTGTTCCTTTCTTCCATCCCCATTGTTTCATTTTTTCTCCTTTCAACTCCTCCCTCCCTCCCTCCCTCCCTTCTTTCTTTTTCTTTTCCTCTCTCTTTCTCATCCTTTCTTCTTAAACTCCAGACTGACCGACTTTCCTTCCTTCCTTCCTTCCTTCCTTCCTTCCTTCCTTCCTTCCTTCCTTCCTTCCTTCCTTCCTTCCTTTTCCTCTCTCTTTCCCATCCTTTCTTCTTAAGCTCCAGACTGACCTTCCTTCTTCCTTCCTTCCTTTTCCTCTCTCTTTCCCATCCTTTCTTCTTAAGCTCCAGTCCTTCCTTCCTTCCTTCCTTCTCCTCTCTTTCCCATCCTTTCTTCTTAAGCTCCAGACCGACCTTCCTTCTTCCTTCCTTCCTTTTCCTCTCTCTTTCCCATCCTTTCTTCTTAAGCTCCAGTCCTTCCTTCCTTCCTTCCTTCCTTCCTTCCTTCCTTCCTTCCTTCCTTCCTTCTCCTCTCTCTTTCCCATCCTTTCTTCTTAAGCTCCAGACCGACCTTCCTTCTTCCTTCCTTCCTTCTCCTCTCTCTTTCCCATCCTTTCTTCTTAAGCTCCAGACCGACCTTCCTTCTTCCTTCCTTCCTTCCTTTTCCTCTCTCTTTCCCATCCTTTCTTCTTAAGCTCCAGTCCTTCCTTCCTTCCTTCCTTCCTTCCTTCCTTCCTTCCTTCCTTCTCCTCTCTCTTTCCCATTCTTTCTTCTTAAGCTCCAGTCCTTCCTTCCTTCCTTCCTCTCTCTTTCCCATCATTTCTTCTTAACCTCCATACCTTCCTTCCTTCCTTCCTTTTCCTCTCTCTTTCCCATCCTTTCTTCTTAAGCTCCAGACCTTCCTCCCTCCCTCCCTCCCTCCCTTCCTTTTCCTCTCTCTTTCCCATCCTTTCTTCTTAAGCTCCAGACCGACCTTCCTTCTTCCTTCCTTCCTTCCTTTTCCTCTCTCTTTCCCATCCTTTCTTCTTAAGCTCCAGTCCTTCCTTCCTTCCTTCCTTCCTTCCTTCCTTCCTTCCTTCTCCTCTCTCTTTCCCATCCTTTCTTCTTAAGCTCCAGACCTTCCTTCTTTCCTTCCTTTTCCTCTCTCTTTCCCATCCTTTCTTCTTAAGCTCCAGACCTTCCTTCTTTCCTTCCTTTTCCTCTCTCTTTCCCATCCTTTCTTCTTAAGCTCCAGATCTTCCTTCCTTCCTTCCTTCCTTCCTTCCTTCCTTCCTTCCTTCCTTCCTTTTCCTCTCTCTTTCCCATCCTTTCTTCGTAAGCTCCAGATCTTCCTTCCTTCCTTCCTTCTTTCATTTTCCTTCTTCCTTCCCATCCTTCTTTCTTTAACTCCAGACTTTCCTTCCTTCCTCAGATCTTCTTTCTTTCCTTCCTTCCTCCCTCCCTCCCTCCTTTTCTTTCTCCTTCCCCCCTCTCTTCCTCCTCCCCCTCCCCCTCCTCCCAATGGGACAGTTAGCAGTCGCGAGAGGTCCTTGGTGCTCTCTGAGGTTGCTTGTTTTATTGCAGGACATTTCATGATATGTAACATCATCAGCGCTAGTAAGGACCAAACAGCACTCCTTACTAGCACTGATGATGTTACCTACTTTGGTCATGAAATGTCTGCAAGAAAACAAGCAAGCTCAGAGGGCGCCAAAGATCCCTCATGTCAACCCTGAGCTACAAATATTCTCCTTTATTAGTAATTAGTCAATTAGTATGTCCTGACTAAGTGGCCACGTTTAAGAAACACTCTTCTAACCAGTGGTGAAACGTAAAATTTATTGCTATCAGTTCTGTGGGCATGGCTTGGGTGGGTGTGGCTTGGGTGGGAGGTGTCATGTGACTGGGTGGGCGTGGCCAACTTAAAAAAAACTTTTTTACGACCGGTTTGGCCAAATAGGTAGTAAAAAAATGCTTTAAAAAAGGGGATTCGACGATCACAGCTGATTGTTCGATAGCATTTCACTCCTGTTTCTAACTGATCCTCCGACCCCCCCTTCATGTCCTGGAACACAGACCAGGGGTGGGTTCTAATTTTTTTTACTACTGGTTCTGTGGGCGTGGCTTATTTTGTGGGAGTGGCTTGATGGTTACGTGACAATTCTTTAGGATTTAGCAGAAGTACTGGTCTACCGGGCTTTTAACTGCTTGCAGAGCTGTACTGGTCTACTCATTTGTTTTTGTAGGCATCGGTCTACCCATTTATTTTTGGAGGCACCGATCTACCCATTTATTTTTGGAGGCACCGGTCTACTCATTTGTTTTTGGAGGCACTGGTCTACCACCACACTGCCTTTTAACACTGATCAGCTGTAGGGCGGCCCTTTGAAGTCCCGCGGCAAGAGTTTAAACAGTTTTTTCCTTCTAGCCAATCAGCTGGGACTCAGGAGGCAGCAATAGATTGGGGGTGGGGACAAATAAAAGGTAAGAATAACATGGGGGAGGGGGAGGGGTAGAACCGGTTCGGTGATGTCGTATCACTGCTACCGGCTCGGTGGAACGGGGCCGAACCGGGGGGAACGCACCACTGACACAGACACAGACCCATCTTTAGGACGTGTTCTGTTCTGTTCTGTTCTACTCTGTTCTGTTCTGTTCTGTTCTGTTCTGTTCTATCCTATTCCATTCCATTCCATTCCATTCTATCCCATTCCATTTTCTATTCTATCCCATTTTTCTATTCTACTCTATTCTATTCTGTTCTGTTCTGTTCTGTTCTGTTCTGTTCTGTTCTGTTCTGTTCTATCCCATTCCATTCCATTCCATTCCATTCCATTCCAAACAGGAGCCAGTTGCGAATTTTAATCACATGACCACATAGATGCTGTAATGGTCATAAGTGTGAAAAACGGTCGTAAATTAGTGCCATTATAACTTCGAATGGTCACTAAATGAATGGTTGTAAGTTGAGGATTACTTATATTGCCTCTCCTCCTCCTCCTCTTCCTTCTCCATTCTGTTTGCTTGCCAGTTTTACAACCTCCTCTTCTCCTGAAAGAAGGTGGACTGACCCTCCCGGACCACCATATCTAACCCAACCCCTTCCCCACAACTCCCCCCCCACCTTTGGTCCAGTTTTGCCGGCCGTCTGGGTCAGCCCTTGTCCCATTTGCCATTGTCACCCTGCCAGCCTCCCAACCTGGACGATGAAGAAATCCCCGTTTGTCCTGGAGACGGATGATGGCCTTGGAGAGGATCTGAACGCAGCCGCGAAGGGGGCAGCTGGGACGGACCATGGACCGCCACCCTTGGAGACCCCTTTCCAGAAGGAAGCCCCTCCCTCCCCCCGGATTCGGGTGAATCTGAATTACCGGCCGGGACTCGTCAAGTAAGTTATTTATCACTGATACCGGTGAGAATTATTTTGCAGAATTTCACCACCAGAAAGAACGTTTGTGTTTAATTTAATTTAATTTAATTTAATTTAATTTCCAATTTATATACCGCCCTTCTCCCTGAGGACTCAGGGCGGTGTACAGCCAAGATAAAAAACATAGGATACAAATATTAAAACATTTAAAAATATATATAAATTTTGGCCCGAAAGTTAAGAATCACAGACTAATTAAAAGAATTTAAAAATTTTAAAAATTTCTTCTTAGGCCAACCCGGCTTGTTGAAAAAGATGGGTTTTCAGGGAACGACGGAAGGCATTGAGGTCCTGGATTCTTCTTATCTCCGGGGGCAACTGATTCCAGAGGGTGGGAGCCCCCACAGAGAAGGCCCTCCCCCTGGGGGCCACCAGCCTACATTGTTTGGCTGATGGCACCCTGAGGAGGCCCTCTCTGTGGGAGCGCACGGGTCGATGGGAGGTCGTCGGTAGCAGCAGGCGGTCTCGGAGATAGCTAGGCCCTATGCCATGGAGCGCTTTAAAGGTGATAACCAACACCTTGAAGCGCACCCGGAAGACCACCGGGAGCCAGTGCAGCTCGCGCAGGAGCGGTGTTACATGGGAGCGCCATGTTGCTCCCATCACTACCCGCGCTGCTGCATTCTGGACCAGCTGGAGCCTCCGGGTGCTCTTCAAGGGGAGCCCCATGTAGAGAGCGTTGCAGTAGTCAAGGCGAGAGGTGACGAGGGCGTGAGTGACTGTGCACAAGGAATCCCGATCAAGAAAGGGCCGCAACTGGCGAATCAGGCGAACCTGATAAAAGGTCCCCCTGGTAACAGCCGTCAGATGTTCCTCCAAAGACAGCTGCCTATCCAGGTGGACTCCCAGATTGCGAGCCCTTTCAGTGGGGGCCAAAGACTTGCCCCCAATAGTCAGTGATGGAGTCAACTGACTATATCGGGATGCCGGGAGCCACAGCCACTCAGTCTTGGAAGGGTTGAGCCTGAGCCTGTTCCTCCCCATCCAGATCCGCACAGCCTCCAGGCACTGGGACATCACTTCAAGGGCATCGTTGGGGTTGATCTCTGTCAAAGGTTCATGGGTTGCTTTGCGGTCCAATGTAGGAATCTTGGAGTTGGGCTTATCTTGGATTAGATGACCTACAAGGTCCCTTCCAACACAGTTATTCTGTTATCTTAAAGCAGTGTTTCCCAAACTTTTGACATATGTGTACCCCTTCTATAATTTTCGTAACGCTGAGTACCCCTCATAAAAAACATATGCTTTAATAAAAATCAAAATATATTTATTTTTTATTTTTTTTGGTACATACACAAAATAGACGAAAGTTATATTATAAAGAACATTTATTTGATTCAATGAGAAGGATGAAATTGTTTATGTTGAGATGACAGATCATCATAATTTGGTTCCCTGGTTGTTAATTTTAATCTGAGATGCGGTTCCACGTCCAATAGTCTGTTCCTTTTTTTCGACTTAATGTCTACAAATGCAGAAAAAGCAACTTCGCATAAATATGAAGTTGGAAAAGGCAAGATGTATTTCAGGACTTTTTCTGTTAAAACCGGATACACATGTTGCATTTGTAACCAGAATGATGTTAAAGTACACTCCTTATATTTATTTCTCAAGAATCCGTCCGAAGCTAACTCCAACAATTGCTCTTCTTCCGCATGCGACAAACCTTCTGGCATGGATGTTGTGTTAATGTTGAACGGATATCTTACAATAATCAATAATTATAATAAATAATCAAAATCAGTGGAACTTACTAAAGCACGATAACAGGCGCCCGGAACTAACTATTAAAGAAGTAAGTTGTCTCTGTAACGAAGTGCGGTATATTCATGCCGTGTCACGCCTCACAAGACTGTCTAACCGTTAGATAACACTGCAATTCTCCGGCGTTTAAACAGCTTCGCGGCTCAACGTCAACTGTTAATGTTCCCGCAGTTTAAAAATGGCCGAACCCGAGCTGCGCGAAGGATGCGCAGAAGTTCCCGCCATAATGAGTTGCGATACGATGTACGATGGCCCCAGTTCCGGTGTAAAAACTGTGATACGCGCCTATTTCTTTCCTTGTTCTGTGGGCGCAGCTAAGCACGGTGCAGTGGATATTCCCACGTGATCCCCACCAAACTCCGGTGCAACGCGTACCCCCACCAAACTCTTCCCGTACCCCTGGGGGTACACGTACCACACTTTGGGAAACACTGTCTTAAAGCGATGCAGGACACAATTATTTGCTTTTATCATTTGTTTCCTGCCTTTGATATTTTTACAAATAACTCAAGACGGTGAACTCATCCGAGGTACCTTCCTCTTTCTATTTTCACCATGTTGGATTGGGCTGAGAGAGAGAGGGACCAGCTTTCGTGCCTAAGGCAGGACTAGAACTCACCATCTCCTGGTGATTGGCTCAAAGGCACCGAGCCTTCCAATCTATTATTAACCTTATTAACCTATTATTAATCTTCCAACTTTATTAATTCTATGAGCCAGCTTTCATGGTTAAGGTGGGACTAGAACTCACTGTCTCCTGGTGATTGGCCATAAATCACCCAACTGGCTTTCATGCCTAAGGTGGGACTAGAACTCAGAGTCTCCTGGTGATTGGCCAAAAATCACCCAACCGGCTTTCATGCCTAAAATGGGACTAGAACTCACCGTCTCCTGGTGATTGGCCCAAAAGCACCCAGCCAGCTTTCATGCCTAAAGCAGGACTAGAACTCACCGTCTCCTGGTGATTGGCCCAAAGGAACCCAGCCGTCTTTCATGCCTAAAGCGGGACTAGAACTCACAATCTCCTGCTTTCTAGCCTGGTGCCTTAATCCCTAGTCCAAATTGGCTCACATAATTACAGAAAACAAATGCCATCTATTTAGGAATAAACACATGTGACCATCTCTCAGATTTAACTGATTGGCAATGATTGCGTCAAGAATACTTAAACTGTTTATATCCCAACTTGGGTTTTTATGAAGTGGGGTGTCACAAGTTTGTTTGTTTGTTTGTTTGTTTGTTTGTTTGTTTGTTTATTTATTTATTTATTTATTTATTTATTTATTTATTTATTTATTTTATTAAATTTTTATACCGCCCTTCTCCTGCAGGACTCGGGGCGGTGAACAGCCAAGAATAAAAAACATCCAATACAAAATTTAGAGTTATTAAAAGAATTAAACAAATTTTGGTCCAGATTTAAAAACATCCCAATTAAAATCCATTACAATTAAAATATCTAAGTTGCTGGATTCCTCCTCCCTCCCCACTTCCTTGTGTGTCTTGTCCAATAACTTAGAATTTGGCAGGCAGGCACATTATTTTGCTATGGCTCAGAGAAATAAAAGAACACCTGTCCAATAATAAGTTCACGAAACAAAAATCTTCATTGCTTAACATTTGGGCCAGCCCTGCAAACCAATGTCAAGCTGCTACTGTTCTTTGAATGAGATCAAGCAAATAAAATGGTTATTGGGGCACTGTTGTGGTTCCGTTGCCTGAGCCTGGGCTATCAACAGATGCAGATTCTGAGAATGAGGGAGAGGAGTTGGCAAGGCCTCCCTCTCCAGGACCCTCCTCTCTGGCAATGCCTCCGGAGGACACCGAAGGCCAAGAGATAGGCCCAGAGCCAAGCACGTCCCCGCAGCCACAGGTGGACAGCGACGAAGGAGATAAGTGCTGGCTGGATCCTTGGCAGCGACGCAGGGAGAAGCGTGCGCAGCAGAGGGGAAGGCGTGCCAGAGATTAGCTGAGTCAGTGGACCACACCCCACAGGTGTGGTGGGTGTGGTGGCTGGTTCAGTTTGTGATGAGGGTGTGGTGGCCGGTTCAGTTTGTGGTGTGGTGGGTGTGGTGGCCGGTTCAGTTTGTGATGAGCAAAAACTAGAAATAATCCATGATCTCTGCATTACTGGACTTCTGCCTGCCTTGTCGGACTGCATTTGGACTAATCCTTGTATTGCTGAAACTTTGCCTGCTTTATCGGAATGCTTGCGGTCTAATCTTTGTTTCGTGTGAGTAAAGTCTGAATTGGCAGCTAGCCACTGGGTTGCTGCCTGCTTTATCTTCAAAGATTTTGTCATGTGGCTTATTAACTCCGGGCCATCTGTGGGGGTGCGTGTGTGGGACGGGGACAGAACAGGCACATTCCTGCAGCAGACAAGAGGATCTCTGGATGGTCCTTGGCAGGGGTGAAATCTACTTGCCTTCCCTACCAGTTCGGAAGTGCACACACCGGGCGGACTCTTTGTGCATGCACATAATCCTTCTGCGCATGTGCAGAGGGTAAAAAACAGGTTACTTCCTGGTTAAAACCGAATCCCGCCTGGATCCTTTTCTTTTCTCTTCTGCAGACCGGATGATCCAAATCGCTTCGACAGGGAACGTATTTTTCAAGCCGTGGTTGCGGGAGATCCTGAACTGCTTAACGGCCTAACTGATTATCTGTGGAAAACATCCAGCTTTCTCACCGACACTAAATATAGAGGTAGATCGCGTCTTGCTGACTCTCGTGCCTTTATGAACGACTGTAAAAAATGGATAAGCTTCATAAAACTACCAACAGAAGAGTGCGGCCCTTGGTGCTCTATCAGCTTGGCGGTTTCCTTGAAGACGTTTCGTGACCCAGCTAGGTAACATCATCAGTGCTAGAAGGCAATGGGGGGGGGAGAGGGGGGAGGAGGAGGAGAGAAGTGTGGATCATTTCTGAGCTTGGTGTGTCAGACTTTGATGCTATCTCAAAATAAATGAATTTCCAAACTGCCAATCTTTAAGGAAATCTTCTCTTTATTTGAGCACAGCAACCAGATCATGACTCGATGCGGACAAGACTGACCTTTTGCCCCCCCAATCCCTCCCTTTCCGATCCCCAATTATCTGCTTCTCATTGGCTATCTTCCAAGTCACTCTACTGACTTCTTGTCTCGTCATTTCACAGGAATGTCCCCCCTCCCTTCATTTCCACGATGACCCAGCTTCAAAGGGATTTAGCAGGCAAAAGTTCAGGGCTTATCTCTCTCCTCTCTATGCCAGCGGTGAGACGCTGACATGGTGATTTTCTCAGGACTCAGTTAGGTAATGTGGTCAGTGCTAGAAGGGAGGAGGACGAGGAGGAGGAGTGCTCTCTGAGCTTGGTGATTTTCTCATGACCCAGTTAGGTAACATCATCAGTGCTAGAAGGGAATGGATGTTGGGAGGAGGAGGACTGTGGGGTTATTGGTGGTTTTCTTGTCGACATTTCGTTACCCAGCTAGGTAACGTCATCAATGCTAGAAGGGAGGAGGGTTTGCAGAGAGGAGAAGGATGAGGAAGAGGAAGATGACTGTGGAGTCCTTAGTGCTCTCTGAGCTTGGTGGTTTTCTTGCAGGCATTTCATGACCCAACTAGATAACATCATCAGTGCTAGAAGGGAGTATGGGATTTGCTCTCTGTTTCTATACAGGGGCCTACATTAAATCCCAGCCTAATCAAGGAACCACCAAGAACATTCTCACCAACACTGACAGGGCAATCCAGTGGTATATATCCCAATGAATTCTGGGAGTTGAAGTCCACCCATCTTCAGGTGGCCAACGTGAAGGAACACCGCTTTAGGAAGATGGAAGACGGGGCGGGCATCATCCAAGCTTCCTTCCCTGGGCTTCTTTCTTCCAGATGGGAAGACCGGTAAGACCTGTTTGATGAAGGCCTTGCTCCATTTGAAAGACGGGAAGAACCCCACCATCCCTGAGCTCTTGAAGATAGACAAGGAGACCCAGAACCCCAACTCTTTGGTCAACGCCGCTTGCACTGGCAGCTACTACAAAGGTCAGGCTCCTTCATGGGACGTTGAGGGTGGAGGACTCTGTTTTCTAGGGTGGGGTGGCTGGAAGGAGATCTTCAGTTGGGATAGATTGGAACTTCCTTCCTTCTTTCCTTCCTTCCTTCCTCCCTCCCTCCCTCTTCCTGAAACTCAGCAGAGTTTAGCCCAGCCAGATGATGATGATGGTCATCTTCTTCTTCTTCTTCTTCTTCTTCTTCTTCTTCTTCTTCTTCTTCTTCTTCTTCTTCTTCTTCTTCTTCTTCTTCTTCTTCTTCTTCTTCTTCTTCTTCTTCTTCTTCTTCTTCTTCTTCTTCTTTCTTCTTCTCCTCCTTCTCCTTCTCCTTCTCCTTCTCCTTCTCCTTCTCCTTCTCCTTCTCCTTCTCCTTCTCCTTCTCCTTCTTCTTCTTCTCCTCCTCCTCCTCCTCCTCCTTCTTCTCCTTCTCCTCCTCCTCCTCTTCTTCTTCTCCTCTTCCTCCTCTTCCTCCTCCTTCTTCTCCTTCTCCTTTTCCTCCTCCTCCTCCTCTTCTTCTCCTCCTCCACTTCTCCTTCTCCTCCTCCTCTTCATCTTCTCTTCTTCTCCCCCTCCTCCCCCTCCCCTCCCCCTCTTCTCTTCTCTTCTTCTCTTCTCTTCTCTTCTCTTCTCTTCTCTTCTCTTCTCTTCTCTTCTCTTCTCTTCTTTTCCCCCTTCTCCTTTTCCTCTTGCAGGATCTTATGGGAATCCCATAACATTTTAGCCAACAAACTTGGTGAATTCTTATGTATTTAATCAATTTCAATGGCCACGTATGTTAACATAAAAACTTGTGTGCATTTCTGAATAGAGAGCCAGGGATGTGATCACAAAAGTCAAGATGGCCACGATCATCACAGAGGACCTTAAGAGGACAATTCTTTTCTTCCTTCCTTCCTTCCTTCCTGCCTGCCTGCCTGCCTGCCTGCCTTCTTCTCGCTTGCCACTCCTCCTTCCTTCCTCTTCATCTTAGTTCTTCTTCTTCATCTTGTTTCTTCTTCATGGCCCTTTGGCGGCTGCCATCTTGACTGTTTTGATCTAAACCAGCAGTCTGCAACCTTAAACACTCAAAGAGCTATTTGGACCCGTTTCCCACAGAAAAGAAAACACAAAACATCAGGACCCTGACTATTTCTTGAGCAGCCACAAAACTAGAATATGGAGCTGAATTAAAGATTCTGTTTTCTTCTGAAACTTTTCTTTTCTTGGATTTATCCATGGTTGGCCTACCGGAGGTTGAAAAGCTCAATAAATCACGTGCCGACGGGTGTCACACATTGGCGATTGTGACGCATATTTTAAGTGACAGGGAGCCGCAGCAGAGGGATGAAAGAGCCACATGCAGCTCCAGAGCTGCAGGTTGCTGACTCCTAATCTAAATTTTGGATTTTTTATTTTTTTTTAAATTTGATTTATATGCCGCCCTTCTCCGGAGACTCAGGGCGGCTTACAATGCGTTAAGCAATAGCCTTCATACTTTTTGTATATTTTATACAAAGTCAGCTTATTGCCCCCACAAACTGGGTCCTCATTTAACCTACCTTAGAAAGGATGGAAGGCTGAGTCAACCTTGAGCCTGGTAAGATTCAAACCTGCAGTAATTGCAGGCAGCTGTGTTAATAACAGGGTGCTTTAAACCACTGTACTACCAAGGCTCTTCCATCTTTCTCCGGTGCCATTTCTCCCCTTCTCTGCAGGCCACACAGCCCTCCACATCGCCATCGAGAAGAGGAATTTAGATCTTGTGAAGATCCTGGTGGAGAACGAGGCTGATGTCCACGTCAAGGCTTCTGGACGTTTCTTCCAGCCGCACCGCAAAGGGGCCTACTTTTATTTTGGTATGGCAGCAGGAGAAAACTCAGGTTTCATTCCACAGAGATACAAGTGGGTACCCATGGTGGTTTTGAGGGCCAAGCGAAGTTTTTAAAAGCCATGTGAGTTTTTTACATGAAACTCATCGAATTCGGTACTCAACACATTTTAACACGAAATTTGTACTCGTCATTTGTTTAGAATCAATTCACAAGTGAAAACTTGTAGGTGTCAGTTGCGTTGTAACTCATTACATTATTCCTTACGGGAAGAAATTTTTATTTTTTTTAAATTTGATTTATATGCCGCCATTCTCCAGAGACTCAGGGCGCTTACAATGTGTTAAGCAATAGCCTTCATACTTTTGTATATTTATACAAAGTCAGCTTATTGCCCCCACAAACTGGATCCTCAATGTTTACCTACCTTAGAAAGGATGGAAGGCTGAGTCAACCTTGAGCCTGGGGAGATTCGAACTTACAGTAATTGCAGACAGCTGGTGTTAATCACAATGCTATCAGTCTGCTGAGCCACCAGGCCCTATATTTGTTGTCTTCTTGGTACTCATCGTTTTTGGTACTCATCGCAGCTCCCGGAATCAATTAACAATGAGTATTGAGGTACCAATTAACAATGAATCAATTAACAATGAGTATTGAGGAAAGAACACAGTGGCTCAGTGGCTAAGATGCTGAGCTTGTCGATCGAAAGGTCGGCAGTTCAGCAGTTCGAATCCCTAGCGGGGTGAGCTCCCATTACTTGTCCCAGCTTTTGCCAAACGAGCAGTTCGAAAGTAGGTAAAAAATGCAAGTAGAAAAATAGGGACCACCTTTGGTGGGAAGGTAACAGCGTTCCGTGCACCTTTGGCATTGAGTCATGCCGGCCACATGACCACGGACAGCGCTGGCTCTTCGGCTTTGAAATGGAGATGAGCAGTTCAGGCTTATGCAGACGATCTTGTATTTATCTTGGATCAACCACTGGACTCGGGCCTGAAATTATTATGCTTGATTAGAGAGTATGGGAAGGTAGCGGGGTTAAAGATGAATGAAGAAAAAACTAAAATCCTAGTGAAAAATATGACTCAGATGCAAAGGCAACAGCTGGAGCAGTTAATGGGCTTAAGAATAACAAATAAAATTAAGTATCTGGGTATATGGTTGACCGCCAGATGTTCCTCCATAAAGGAGGATAACTATCTTCCTCTTTACAGCCAGATGCTCAGAGACTTAGAAAGATGGAAAAATCTCCAGCTATCAATTTTGGGAAGGGTGGCAACCATTAAGATGTGCGTGTTATCCAAATGGTTATTTCTATTTCAAACAGCCCCGGTAAGGTTGAATAAAGAGTTTTTTACAAATTTGGACAGGAGTATATCTAAATTTATCTGGCAGGGAAAGAGGCCGCGGATTATTATTATTATTATTATTATTAATCAAATTTCTATACCGCCCTACTCCCGAAGGACTCAGGGCGGTGAACAGCCAAGATAAAATACAGACAATACAAATATTAAAAATCCCTTAAAATTATTAAATATTTCGGCCGAAACACAGATTAAAACACCCAATTTATAAAATCACGAATTAAAAAATTTAAAATTTAAGAATTTAAAAGAGGGGAGTTAGGCCAGGCCAGCTTGCTGAAATAGAAAAGTTTTGAGAGCACGGCGAAACGTGCGCAGGTCCGGGATCTTCCGTATCTCTGGGGGGAGCTCGTTCCAGATGGTAGGTGCCCCCACAGAGAAGGCTCTCCCCCGGGGGCCGCCAGTCGACACTGTTTGGCCGACGGCACCCTGAGGAGCCCCTCTCTATGGGAGCGTACTGGTCGGTGAGAGGCTATTGGTAGCAGAAGGCGGTCTCGTAGATACCCCGGTCCGATGCCATGGAGCGCTCTAAAGGTGGTAACCAAAACCTTGAAGCGCACCCGGAAGACCACCGGGAGCCAGTGCAGCTCACGCAGGAGGGGGTCACATGGGAGCGCCACGTCGCTCCCATAACCACCCGCGCGGCCGCATTCTGGACCAGCTGGAGCCTCCGGGTGCTCCTCAAGGGGAGCCCCATGTAGAGAGCATTGCAGTAGTCCAAGCGGGAAGTGACAAGAGCATGAGTGACCGTATTTAACGAGTCCCGATCCAGACGATTAGACTTAAAATGTTACAAGAACCCAAAAATAGAGGAGGATTTGGACTCCCAAATTGGGAGCTCTATCACCAAACAGCAAACTTGATTTGGGTGAAAGAATGGATGGTCCTACAAAAGAGATGACTTTTGACATTTGAGGGAGCCGGTCTTCAACATGGCTGGCACTATTTTCTATGGCCGGGAGCATCCGGCCGTCCTAGACACTTTGATGATCACTATTTACGTAGGACGCTTGGGTACACTTGGGAAAAGGTTAGAAGAAGAGTATATACAAAAGTTCCATGTTGGATTTCGGCGCAGGAAGCTCAGGTTTACCCGACATTGTATAAAGGGGAGAAAACCTTGACGTATGAAGGTTTTTTGGATGTTCAGGGTAATCCAAAGTCACGAGAATTATTAACTCTTCAAGGATATAAGATAGACTGGTGGTCTTATTCGCAAGTGTACTCCAGGTATAAAAAAGATTTACATAGTGAAGGAATCTACAGTAAAAGACAAGAATTGGATAAGATCTTATTAGAAGGAGGGAAAGGGATATTATCTAAATGTTATGCATATTTATTGTCTCTGCAGATAGGACAGGATGTAGTGAAGGATTGTATGATAGCATGGGGGCGAAATTTTGGATATCCCCTTGACTTCCAGCAATGGGAACAGATTTGGTTGAAAAATATGAAATTAACCATGGCCTCCTCATATAAAGAAAACATATATAAAATGATCTACCGGTGGCATCTACCCCCGGCGAGATTAGCTAAAATGTTTCCCGGGACATCTGCCTGCTGTTGGAAGTGCGGTTACAGCAATGGAACCTATTTTCACCAATGGTGGACCTGCCCGCAGGCGGTTAAATATTGGAAAAAAATACGGCAATGGATTTTGGAAATTACACAGATTAATTTGGAATTAAGACCCGAGATTTTCCTACTGGGGGCAAAACCTTTGAATGTTAAGTCAGATATATGGTTCTTGTTGATTCACATTATCACTGCAGCAAGATTAGCGTATGCGCAGGAGTGGAAAAATCAATACTTACCGATAGATTTGAAAATAATACATAAAATTAATGAGTGTGCGGAATCAGATAGACTAACTAGATTGATCAATGGTAAAAAAGATTCAGAATTTTATAACAGTTGGAAAGTATGGTACGATTGGGTCCAGAAAAGGTGGGATAGAATAGACATATGATGATGTATATATATGATGGCAAATATGTATGTATAAAGGAATGATTTTATACTTATGGACAATGTAATCATATTATACCATGGTGGCAGGATTGTATATTTTATTTGTGTATTAGTGTATAGAATATATTAATAAAAAAAATTATATATATAAAAAAAAGAAACGGAGATGAGCACCGCCCCCTAGAGTCAGGAACGACTAGCAGGTATGTGCGAAGGGAACTTTTACCTTTTACCTTTATTGAGATACTATTTTAGTTGGAAAAGTTTTGAATTTCTGAGAATGGGTAAAATTGGGTAAGAAGTTCTCCTTAAAGCCAGAATATGGGTGGGTGGGGGGATATTTTGGCTGATTTTCAAGTAGTCCTCAATTTATAATAGTTCATTTAGTCACAGTTCAAAGCTACAATGGCACTGAAAAAAGGGACTTATGATAATTTTTCACACTTATGACCGTTGCAGCATCCCCATGGTCATGTGATCAAAATTTAGATACTTACTGGTTCATATTATGATGGTGACTGTGTCCTGGGGTCTCATGATCCCCTTTTGCGACCTTCTGACAAGCCAGATTCACTTAATGTATTCCTAACTAAACAACTGCAGTGATTCACTTCTTGTTTAATTTGTTTTATTTTGCTTTTAAATTTTGTATTTATGTGTTTTATCTTGTGCTGTTCACCGCCCTGAGTCCTTCCGGAGTAGGGCGGTATATAAATCAAATAAAACTAAACTAAAAACTAAACTAAACTTAACAATGGTGGCAAAATTGGTAGCAAAATGGGGCAAGATTCACTTAACAACCATCTTGTTTAGCACAGAAATTTTGGGCTTGATTGTGGTTGTAAGTTGAGAGCTACTTGTAGCCATTATTCCATTGTCTCTCAACCTTGGCAAGTTTAAGATGGCTGGACTTCAACTCCCAGAATTCCCCAGCCAGCATGAGTGACTTAAAGACCTGTGGACTTCAACCTTGGCCATTCGAAGACCTGCTGTCTGGGGAATTCTGGGAGTCGAAGTCCACAAGATTTAAAGACCTGTGGACTTCAGCCTTGGTCATTCAATAGACCTGCTGGCTGGGGAATTCTGGGAGTTGAAGTCCACAAGACTTAAAGACCTGTGGACTTCAACAGTGGCCACTTGAAGACCTGTTGTCTGGGGAATTCTGGGAGTTATAGACCTGTGGACTTCAACCTTGGTCACTCAATAGACCTGCTGGCTGGGGAATTCTGGGAGTTGAAATCCACCGGTCTTACAAGTGGCCAAGGTTGGACACCTCTGACCTAGATGCTCAATGCAACCTTGGCCCATCGTCCTCTCTCTTCCAGGTGAACTTCCTCTGTCCTTGGCTGCTTGTACCAACCAGCCAGAGGTTGTCATGTACCTCCTGGATAACCCTCACCAGAAGGCCAGGCTGACTGAACAGGATTCCCTGGGCAACACCATCCTCCATGCGCTGGTGATGGTGGCCAATGACACGGAGAAGAACACCGAACTCGTGGTCAACATGTACGACATGATCTTGATGAAAGGGGTCGAGATTGACCGTTCCTGCAAATTGGAAGAGATTGTCAACCTGAAAGAGCTGACTCCTTTGAAGCTGGCTGCCAAGACTGGGAAAGTTGAGGTAATCTCTCTCCTCACCAGGATACGTCATCCTCGACTTACAACCATTTGCTTAGGAACCATTTGAAGTACCAATAACAGAGAATATTTGTAGCTCAGGGTTGAAATGAGGGGGTCCTTGGTCAAGCTCAGAGGGCACCAAGGACCGCTCAACCATTTGAAGTTACATTGGCATTTTTCACAATTATGATAGTTGCAGCATTCCTGTGGTCACACGATCAAAATTCAGATGTTTGGCAAGTGACTCATATTTATGACAATTGTGGTGTCCCGGGGTCATGTGATCCTCTTTTGTGATCTTTGGACAAGGAAAACTGATGGAGAAACCAGATTCACTTAATGACCGGGTTACTAACTTATCAGATGCAGTGATTCACTTAACGACAGTGGCAAGGAAGGTCGTAAAACGAGGCAAAACTCAGTGAACAACTGTCTTGCTTAGCAGTGGAAATTTGAGGGCTCCGTTGCGGTAGTAAGACGAGGATGTCAGTGTACACAATTGTATTATTTGTATGACTTTGTTGTGGTGATTGTGTCCCCTTGACTTCATTGTGGTTTCTCACATCTTGATCTTGGAGACAAAGTAGAGAAAAGAGGTGGTGGTCAGGTGAAAGAGGACAAAAGTCCAAAGAGAGTCATGTCTGAGGAAAAGTTTTCTTGATTATGTAGCTTAGTTATCAGAGGTGTCTCCAAGAAGATCAAAAATGTCAACAGGATGGCTGGATATGGAGATCATTTTGATTTGACCTCTAGAGACACTCCTGTCACTAACTGAACCATTTTGGTCTCTTCAGATCCTCAAGCACATGCTCCACCGAGAGATGAAGGACCCCAAGTTCCAGCACCTTTCGCGCAAGTTAACTGAGTGGACCTATGGTCCCGTCCACATCTCCCTCTACGACCTGACCTCCATCGACAGCTGTGAGGAGAACTCAGTGCTGGAGATCCTGGCCTACAGCAGCAACACTCCAGTGAGTGGGTCCAGTCAAGAATGGCTCTTCTCAAGAGTTTCTCTGCTCTTTTCCTCCTTCTCCTTCTCCTTCTTCTTTTCCTCTTCCTCCTCCTCCTTCTTTCCTCCCTCTCTCCTTTTCTCTTTTTCTCCTTCTCCTCCCTCCCTCCCTCCTCCCTTTTCCTCCTTTCTCTTTTTTCTTCCTTCTTTCCTTCTTTCTTTCCTCTTTTTCTCCTTCCTCCCTTTGGGCAAAACTCTTTCTGAAAAAGGTGGTTCAGGTTCTTTTTTTTAAAAAAATGAATAAGGTATTTTATTCTTTTAATTTTCTTTAAACTGCCTTGCGAATAAAGGACAATATTATCTTTGTCCAGTTTCTAAATGTGGGTGTTTAGATAAATTCAATGTTTTATCCATACTGGTCTTGTTTGAAATTTCAGGAGTTATATCTAGAGAGTATCTCCCAACACTTCAGCAACCTAACACAACAGAGGGGTCTCCAAACACTTCATCTTGGGGTTCAATTTTGACCACTTTGGAGACCTGTAGTCTAGTGGGGACTGAACACTACTAACTGAGAACACAGAGCTTTGAATCTCCCTTCCTTCTCTGTTAACATATTTAACAAGTTAGTAGCTGGAGCAGTGGGGTTGTGCCATGAGCCAGGACACACAGTTGTGGTTGATTGTTTGGAGAGTGCTCCTGCATGAGGCAATCTGCATTGTGATTGGTTGTTTTGGGTATGGAGGAGGTATTTCCATTTTCCCCGCCTTTTTTCTGTGTGCCCTGTTTGTTCTGTGATTTACCTCAAGATGTTCCCGCTATGTCGATTTACCTCATGATGCTCCTGCTGTATTGATTTACCTCAGGGGTGTCAAACTCGCAGGTCGCAGGCTGGATGTCACATGCTGGCCACGCCCACCACCATTTTAGCAAAGGGAGGAAAAGTTGTGACATGTCACATGACGACATGTCATGAGTTTGACAACCCTGATTTACCTCATGATGCTTCTGCTGTGTAGACTTTTACCTCATGATGCTCCTGCTGTGTAGACTTTTACTTCGTGATGCTTCTGCCATGTAGATTTTTACCTCATGATGCTCCTGCTGTGTAGATTTTTACCTCATGATGCTCCTGCTGTTTTGATTTACCTCATGATGCTCCTGCTGTGTAGATTTTTACCTCATGATGCTCCTGCTGTGTTGATTTACCTCATGATGAGGGTGAAGGTTTTCTCTGAGCTTGGGGGCTGGTTTCCGAATGTTTCATTATCAGGCCTGGCAACATCTTCAGCGGAGTTAAGAATTGTTTAGCGCATTGTAAGCCGCCCTGAGTCTCCAGAGAAGGGCGGTATATTGCGAGGTACTTGCAAGACCGCCTTCTGCCACCAATAGCCTCCCACCGGCCAGTACGCTCGCACAGAGAGGGCCTCCTCAGGGTGCCATCCGCCAAACAGTGTCGGCTGGCGACCCCCAGGGGAGAGCCTTCTCTGTGGCGGCGCCCGCCCTCTGGAACAACCTCCCCAGAGATACGTACAATACCAGACCTCCGGACTTTTCATCGGGCCCTAAAAACTTATTTATTTCACCTAGCCGGTCTGGCTTGACCCCATAGTTTTTGGTTAATTTTAAATTGATTTTAATTGGGTTTGTTTTAAATTGCGGCCAAAAATATTTAATTATTTTAAATTGTTTTTAAATTTTGTATGTTCTGTTTTATTCTGGCTGTTCACCGCCCTGAGTCCTGTTGGAGAAGGGCGGTATACAAATTAAATAAATAAATAAATAAATCAAATTAAAAAAAAAAAAAAGAATTCTCCTAAACTCTGCTGAAGATATTACCGAGCCTGGCAATGAAACATTTGGAAACCAACCATAAACTTGGAAAATGAACCTTCACCCTCCTCCTACACCCGAGCTACAGATATTTGCCACTGTTACCTCATGATGCTCCTGCTGTATCGATTTACCTCATGATGTTCCTGTTTGCCTGACTACCTTGTTTGCTGTATATATAGTTGCAAAATATATTTATTTATATAAAACTACAAGTTTGTGTCAGTGTCTCTGACTCCATTTGGACACCAGCAACTCCACAATTCTATGACATTTTCCCTCTACAGAACCGGTACAAAATGGTGGCCCTGGAGCCTTTGAACAAGCTACTTCAGCACAAGTGGGAATCCTTCATTAGAAAAAGGTTTTTCTTGAGTTTATTCCTCCACCTGATTTTCATGCTCATCTACACAGGCACTGCTTATTACCGGCCTCTAAATGGAGAGGTAACTATTTTTTAAACAAATGGATGCTTTTGGTAAAGAGAAGGGGGTGAATTTGAGTTAGTCCCTTTCTGTAAATCCAACTGAACTCTCTCTCTCTCTCAAAAAAGGGAGTGTCAGCACTAGAGTAAATGCAGGTTGAAGTGCTTGACAGGGAGAATACTACTGGTAGTCCTTGACTTACGACCACAATTGAGCCCGAAATGTCCGTTGTTAAGTGAGTTTTGACCCATTTTACGACTTTTCTCACCACAGTTGTTAAGGGAATCACCGCAGTTGATACGTTAGTAAGTGAATCTGGCTTCCCCATTGACTTTGCTTGTCAGAAGGTCACAAAAGGGGATCACAGGGACCTTGAGCACAGCAACGGTCATAAATACGAGTCAGTTGCCAAGCTGATGTCAATTTTGTTCACGTGACCATGAGGATGCTGCAAAGGTCATAAGTGTGAAATGGTGACAAGTCAAAGCTGTTGTAACTTTGAACAGTTACGAAATGAACTGTTGTAAGGCTAGGACTACCTGTATTGAACTCTGGGGAAAAAAGACGGATATAAAACACTTAAATAAAACTATTAACAGTATCAGTCCAAAATAAGAATATGTTTCCAAAGGCTGATGGAGTTGTGTTCAGTGGTAGGCTGAAACCGGTTTCCCAACTGGTTCGGTGAGCGCATGCTTTGCGTGCGCAGGTGTGCGCCTAACGCACTTGCACGCAACGTTCAAAATACAATTTGAAGCGCAGCTGATTACCTTCTAAGGCAGCCCCGATAAGTAGAACAGTGGAAGCGCGGAAATCAGCTGTGCCGCACGAATCAGCTGAGCCAGAAAGAAGGAAATATAGGACAGGATAGAGTGGGGGTGGGTGCAGTGGTGAAATGTAAAATTTGTTACTACCGGTTCTGTGGGCGTGGCTTGGTGTGTGTGTGGGGTAATGTGACTGGGTGGGCGTGGCCAACTTTTTTTTTTTTAACTTTTAAAACCATTTTTTCCTCAACCTCTTCGGCCGAAGAGGTTGTAAAAAAAATGCTTTTAAAAGCCTCTGATGATCCCAGCTGAGTTGCCTGATCGTCAGAGGTTTTTTTTTTTTTTTCCTTTTAAAAACATTTTTTCGACAACCTCTTCAGCTGAAGAGGTTGTAAAAAAAATGCTTTTAAAAGCCTCTGATGATGAGCTGAGCCGCACGATCATCAGAGACTTTTTTACAAAACTTTTAAAAGCATTTTTTCGGCCGAAGAGGTTGTAGAAAATATGCTTTTAATTTTTTTTTTAAAAATCCTCTGATGATTGTGCGGCTCAGCTGGGCATGGGGGGGGGGCAGGGATTTTTGCTACCGGTTCTCCGAACCACCTGCCGCCATTGCAACTGGATTGGGTGATCTGGTCCGAACCTGGAGCATTTCACCCCTGGATGGGTGAGCGGGACCAGCTGATCGTTGGTTCGCCCGAACCACTCCAAACCGGTTGAATCCCACCCCTGATTTTATTGATGTGTTCAGATATTAATGTGTTTGGCAGCCCTGCTACAGTTCACAGGAGCGAGCATGGCTTTGTTATAAGCAAATCACGCGAGACTAATTTCAACAACTTTAGTAGAATTCTTAACTTAGTAGATAGGGGGAATGCTGTAGACATAGTTTACCTTGATCACCGCAATGCCTCCAAACCTTTATCTCATGATAATCTCTTGCATAAAATGCTAAAATATAAATCATACTATTGATAGACGCTCAGGGAGCTACATGAGTGCACCTGGGGAGGAGATCACGCCAGAGAGGAGGGAAGCTTTGAGAGGAGGATCTTGGTCCTGTGCGTCAATAACTAGGGTGACTGTGCAGAAAGAATTCATCTCTTTGTAAATGACGCAAAGCTGAGAAGAATGCAGATACTTTAGATGAAATATAGAAGATGTAGACCACAGGTGTCCAATCTTGGCAACTTTTAAGATTTGTGGACTTCAATTCCCATGGCTGGCTGGGGAATTATGGGAGTGGAAGTCCACCCATCTTAAAGCATGGCTGGCTGGGGGATTCTGGGGGTTGGAGTCCATCCCTCTTAAAGCATGTAGGCGGGGGAATTCTGGGAGTGGAAGTCCACCCCTCTTAAAGCACTGCTGGCTGGGGAATTATGGGTGTTGAAGTCCACCCCTCTTAAAGCATGCTGGCTGGGGAATTCTTGGGGTTGGAGTCCACCCCTCTTAAAGCATGATGGCTGGGGAATTATGGGAGTTGAAGTCCAGCCATCTTAAAGCACACTGCGTGGGGAATTCTGGGAGTTGAAGTCCACCC